ATGCAGAAAGATCTGGACTGCATTCTTAGGGTTGGCATTGGGAGTCTGAATGTCAGAGGTCCTCATTCTTAACATTTAACTCCGATCACATCGAACCTTTCTCCTGTCTTCATTTGTGCTTCCATACATCCTCAGCCACATACATATATCGTCACCCATAGTCACTCACAAGCATATGCCCAGGCACCACTTCTCAAACCTGGTCCCATTGTCTAGGCAACTCTAAGCTTCCAGGTTCTCTCTTGTTTGTCTTTCTTGTCCCTATTTGTGTGGCCTTCCAATATTTGCTGGTGGATGGTGTGGGAATGGGGGTAGTGGAGAGCAGGGCAGCCTCCAGGTTTGACAGGCCTCTGTGTCAATGTGGTGCCGTCCTGGGCCTAAGGGGCTGACACGTTCTCCTGGCTGGTGGCTCTTCCTCCTCTGTGAGGCCCCAAGAAGCCACTTGGGTTGCTACCTGTCCACCTGTTCTCATCCTTATTGCTCAGTCAAAATTTTTGTGTACTTTTGGAGTTTTTTTCTCCCTTCACATTTTTAGTCTTCACTGTCTTTACTTTTAGTCCACTTCTGGTCAGGTGGGCATGGGCACATCATTAGGGAGAACATGCTTACTTTCCCCAAGGAAATTATAAAGACCCTGGCTGACCCCTGAGGTGCATAATCAGAATCATCCTCCTCTTCCTGCCTTCTCTCCCTATTGCTATAGGTGGCTGATTACCTGTTTTTACTGGTGTCCGGTTTCTCCCCATTTTTAAAATCTCTTTTCTCATTTTCAGGGTCCCTCCCTGCCTTGGCCTTATGGACTAGGGGCTTAGTGGCCCCTTGTAGTATGTTGATGACATATAGAGGGCATGAGTTTGCCTGCACCTTTTTTTCTCTTTTGCTCCTCCAGGTCTATTTCTGGATCCAGCCCTTTGATCCCAATCAGAAAGGATCCCAACAAGCTTTTCAGTGGTGTGTCCTTTCACTGGGACATCACTTGTGTCCTTTGCCACCACTTGTGTATGTCATCAAGCAGTGATGTACCCCTGAACTAGATCTTTCAGGACAGCTGCAGTAACATGAAGCTGCCACTTGTTGTTGTTGTTCTCCTTCTTCTTCCTCCTCCTCCTTTCTTCTTTTTTCTTTCACTTTTGGCTCTTGAAGGGACAAGTTTTCTATGGAGACTGCTTCTTCTTCTGCTTCTTGGTGATGGGTGTGCCCCTTTGCAGCACTAAGCCTGGAGGGAGGCTTCACTTTTATTCTTAAAGGAGCAGAAATGAAGGTCACCTGTTCAGTTTCTCTGGTGCTTCAAAAAGCCACCCAGGTGTTACTTTTAAGTAAAATGTCATCATGAATTTATGGCTTTCCCAGTACCTCTTGGCTTGCTGTTTGTCCCATTCTCCTTGTGGATGCTGTAAATGTCCAATTATGAGCCAGTGGGAGCCTCAGCAGTTGTATCCTGTTGTCTTTCTTTCCAGTCCAGCCATGTGAACGCAACAATCTGCATTTCAGTGTGTACAGGCAGGCTGTCTCTGCCACGTGCCCATTTGCCCACTCTCACTCACACAGGCAGACATCCACAGACCACAGACACAGACACAAACACACAATTGAAGGGACCGTACACCCAGAAACATAATCACACACAAGAAACCTCACACACACAAGGGTGTGGGCCCAACTGTTCTCCCACACAGACACACATATACACGCACCTCCACAAGGCATAATCTGACCACATGCTCTCCCATACAGGCTCTGAACTGTGAGTTTTCCTGTCTCTAGGCCTGGGTCATAATGCCATTGATTGGGTAACTTGGGTCTTCTTTTGAGAATAAATGCACGAAGTCTGTTATCAGATAGGTCCCAGCAGTGGGTGTGAAACTCGAGCTTTCTTGGCCACACTGCTTAAAAACTTATACTTAGAAAGAATCCCATAATCACAAAGCTTCTTGGTAGCATGTTTTTCCAGGAAGATATCACTGCTGTATCTTTGTCACTCCTATTCATTGTCATTCCTTCTTCTCAGTCTGATTCTTTGTCTTTTTTTTTTCTGTTTTTACTTTCCCTGCTTTACATTATTTTTAACATAATTGGTATCACTTTCAGTTATTTTTTTCTTTCGTGTTTTTCAATTTGCTGTTTACTTTTTTATTTAGTACTTTGAGATTTGAATTGATTTTTGTATTTTATTTCTATCCTTTTTTTCTGGACCAAAGTTTGTCATTTTAGGTGATTAATTTCTTTTCCCAAGTGGTGGATTCATAGTAATGTTTTATCATTTTTTTAATTTAGTGGTTTTTGAGTCTTTTTCTATTGAGTTGGAGTGGTTATTGAATGGATTTATTGTTATATGAAATATTTTTTTCTCCATAACTTTTTTGTGGCTTTTCAGGGCATTTGAAAAACTTAGTTTTTTTTTTTTTTTTTTTTTTAAACTTAGTTTTATTAGAGTTGATTATATATCAATGAGGGATTACTAAGTTTTTATTTTGGGAAGATCATTTCCCTTTTGCATCGTATGTTTTAATTTTCTTTTGCTTCCTGTTTAAGTGACCCATGTTCTGAAACACGTCTTTGCTTTTGCTGTTCACCTTAGTCTCTTGATCACATTTTGGGATACTTCCTTTTTAGATTGATCAAATGTGATAGTAAGAAATTTCATATTTTATGTTGCATAGGAATAGCTAACAGAATATATTTTTGTAATATATATTTAAACTTTACCGCATTCTATGTTTTTTATATTTTCATCATATCTTATACACAATTTTTACTACATTGAGAAATATATTCTTAAAGCAGTGATAAATCAACTCATTTTAATATAAATTCATGATTTCATAGACTATATGACTTGGCTTAAATAGATCTTTCTGAGGAATCAGGAAAATTGCAAAGTCATCAATAAATTCTTTACTCTTTGATAATAAAATATTTTAATAAAAATACTAAAAACTCTTATTTTCAAACCAAAACATATTATAATATCTGGAAAGTAGATTTAAACCTATGTTGCAAAGATTATTAAAATAATTCATGTAAAATGACCTTTTATAGAGATTCATTTAAATGAATATTTTTTTTATGTACCAAAATGAGATTATCATGAGTAAGAAGTTTTGGATCACTAAATTCTTAAAAAATTGTCCACTTCATAATTCTATTAAGGTACAATAAATCAAACATATGCCATGTTTCCTTTATCATTCATAGAAATTTAAAGTATGATAACAGGTATTTCTTATTGAGGTGATAGCTTGTCTCTTATACATTGATGTGTGAACACTGCTTACTGCAACATTTAAATAGTAATCCACAAATTGTTCAAGTTTTTTATTATACCAGCTGAAAGTATATTTGCATATTTGTGAAAACAATTGGAAACTGTTGCAATTCTATCATTTTGAGAATTACTAAGTTTTGGTGGAACCATTTGGTGGAATTTTGTGCAGACATTTTTAAATATTTAAGTTTATGTGGTTACTATGAGATATTATTAAATAAAGAAAACATGTCTGGAGTAATGTGTCTAATACAAAGTCATTTTTTCTAACAACAAAGTTTTGCATGATTGTTAGTACATATGTCTTTGATTGTTATGGGAAAAAAAATTGTGAGGCATTTATTCTACATTTCTAACATCTTTTAACCTCCATGGACTTGGAATTGTTTTTTTGGAAAAATTATTAATCTTCTCTTTTATACATTTTATATTGTTTTCCTCATTTCAATGCCTTTGTATTATATTTCTAAATACAATCTTCTTTTATAAAACATGCAAACTTTATATGAAGAAAAACATCATAAGTAAACTTAAAGACTCTTTATAGTGTGGTTCCATTTAAAAGATATATAATGGATGCCACTAGTTCCTAGAATATATAATGCACTCATTTATATTAATACAGAGACAAAGCCTGATAGAAATATAGTCAAAGAACAGACAATTCATAGAAGACAAAAATATACGGCCAATAATCATAATAAATGTAGTTGACTTTAATGTTAGGTCACCATAGTTGCCACAATCAAAAGTATCCAGAATTCCGTTTTAGAAAGGATTTGATTAATATCTACTATTTATAAAATTATACATTTTAAAGTATTGTACCTGTATCATTATTTAATGTTTGTAAATTTTAACTTATGTTTTATTTATATAATATATGGAAATAATTGTATATATGAACAAATTGGCTTTATTGTTGTAATAAAAAATGCTGCAAGCATATTAAATATCTTTCAAAATAGAATGATTTTTAAATTACACTGAAATACAATGCAATATTTTGAAGCCACTGAAATATTGAGACTATTTTTATATTAAAAAGTATTAATATATTTATAAGTGAATAAAAATAAATTGCAGAAATATGTTATGATGGTCTAATTTATATTATAAACTCCAACTCTAAATTATTATATTATTATAAATACTATGTATGTGTACATTTAAATAGAAAAAGGTCTAGGCAGAAATGATACCTATGTTTTCTTCTGGAAATAGAAGGACTGAAGAATGTTAAAAGTTTAGTGGTAAGAAGACTTGTGTCTGTTCTTTGAATTATATAAAGTTATATTTTATTCATGTATTAGTTGTGTAAATAAATAAATATAACATTTCCAAGGAATATAGGAGTTTGTCAAGGGGCTATAAGGGAACAATGGGGCTGAATGATCAGTTTTGGAAGCCTAGTAAAACAAGAGTAACAGTGGTAGACATTCCTGCACTTTTGGGGGGAGAAATATGACTAGGATAATAGAAACAGGTGGTCCACCTGACGGATAAATTATTTTTCTTTCAAATATGTTAGATACCAACAAAATGAAGGTTACTCAGCATTGTAAGCCTTTGATTTAATGTTTATTAAGAACTCATCTAATAATTTTGCATTCTCTTTAACCTGCTTAATCGGGAAATTTGGGTGTTTTCTGCTCAACAGACATATCTGATCTATATGATAACGGCATTTTGCATTATAAATCAATAAACTTCCTTCTCTTTCTGTATCTTTCAGTCTTATGATGTAATCAGCGTGATTTCACCTCATGAGTTTGGATGAATTCTAGGATGTGGGCAAGATCGGGTTGTAAAACCTCTAAGATTTACAGCCATGGCCTGGATCATGATGAATTTACCAAAGCAAATAACACCTGTGAGATGGTCCTGCAGCAGCCAACCAGTGCGCTCTTTTTGTGACATCCAGTTCTTGTTGTATAACTTTATATTCCTATAAATCCATGAAGGTCCCAATAAAATTTGTCTCTAAGTTTTGCGTTAGATCTATATGACTACATTAGTAAATTGTGAATTAAAAAAAATTTTTTTAATTATTTTTTTAATTGCATTTTAGGTTTTGGGGTACATGTGCAGAACATGCAAGATAGTTCATAGGTACACACATGGCAGTGGTTTTGCTGCCTTCCTCCCCTTCACCTACATTTGGCATTTCTCCCCAGACTATCCCTCCCCAGCTCTCCCCCGCCGCTGTCCCTCCCCTCTTCCCCTCAATAGACCCCAGTGTTAAATTGTAAATTTTAAGTAAATATTTTATAAGAACGTCATATATAAAGCATTACTAAAATTGGTATCAAAATATGACCTTCTTCCTACATTTATTCATTTATTTATGTCTTATTATTCATTTATTTTAGTGAAAAACATAAGGAGAAGAGAGGAAGGGTTAATCTAAAAAGAATTAAGTTTCCAGTACACTTTCTTTACTTTGCTGCCAATTTTTTCATGGAATCTAAATCTTTTATGCTAATCATCATCATATTATTTTACATCTTAACTATTTTCCTGATTAAAATGGTTGGTGTGCTTTAAAAAAAAATTTTCTACTTTCCTTCTAAAATACTTAGTACTGTATAAATAGAATATCCTAATTAAAAACAGTAATAAATATTATGGTAAAAAATACAAGTAAAATGGAAAAAACATTAGATAGCAGCTTTTAATATTTCATATAGTTCACAAACTTTCAGGAATTAGAGATTTACAGAAAAAAAATTATAGGCTATAATGATTGCCAGGGATATAGAAAATAAAACGTCTACCTCTGAATTGTAATAAAAAATAAACAGATTGGAAAGCATATATCTGAAAATGTCAGATAAACTTAGCCTATAATTAAAATATACCATTTGTTCAAAGAAGTAATTAAAGATGACATTGTAAAATGAATACTTAGAGAGATTGTGAAACCTGAGTATTTTACACAATCTTTTGAATTTCACACCTGGCGTAAGAAATAAAGGATCTCAAAAATCACAAATGTAGGTATGGTGACATTTATGTATATTCTAGAGTTATGTTATGCACACTTAATAAATTACAGATAATTATTTAAAAATGGCATAATATTACTAATCACACATTAGGGTTTTAAAAATTTTGAGCCAACCTGAACATCAACAGCAATAATCACAGACTTCTTCAAAATGACATCCGATAAAAGGCATTTTATGCATCAGAAGGCACAATATTATAAAGATGACAACACTCTTCAAAATAATCTAAACAGTCAATGCAAGCCCTGTCAAAATTAAGGTTGCCTACTTTGAAGAAATTTACAACCTGTTTCTAACATTTATATAAAAATGTAATGAACCCAGAATAGCCAAAACAATATTGAAATAGACAAAGTTTGAAGAGTCACATTTCCAAATTTTTAAACTTATTACAAAGCTGATACTGGCATAGGATATAAATATTGATCAATGAAATAGAATTTAAAGTCCAGACATAAACCCCACAGAAGTTAATTTGCAGCCAATTAACTTCTGACAAGGGAGGCAAGACAATTAAAAGGGGAACTAACTATTTTCAACAAATAGTGCTGGGACAACTTGGTATCCATAGGCAAAAATAAATAAATAAAAAAGAGAATTACACCCCTACCTCATGAAAAATATAATAAACTGATAATAAGCCCGAGACTCAAATATAAGGTTTACACTACAAAACTTTTAGGAAGAAACATAGAGTAAATCGATATGTCCTTGAATTAGGCATTGGATTTTTAGCTTTTACACCAAAAGCACAATTTGATAAGGAAAAATGGATAAATTGGATATAATTAAAATTTAAAAAAAAACTTCTGCTTCAATAAACACAGGAAGTTGAAAGACAGCTACAGAGTGCCAGAATATTTTTGCAAATAATACATCTCATGACTTGTATCTAAAATATATAAGGCCAGACACGGTGGCTTATCCTGTAATCCCAGCACTTCGGGAGGCCGATGTGTGGATCGCTTAAGACCAGCCTGGTCAACATGGTGAAACCCTGTCTCTACTAAAAAACAAAACAAAACAAAGCAAAACAATAAAACCCAGCACTTTGGGAGGCTGAGGCGGGCAGATCATCTGAGGTAAGGGAGCTTGAAGTCAGCCTGACCAACTTGGTGAAACCCCGTCTCTACTAAAAATACAAAAAAATTAGCTGAGCATGATGGCACATGCCTGTAGTCCCAGCTACTTGGGAGGCTAAAGTAGGAGAATTGCTTGAACCTGGGAAACAGAGGTTGCAATGAGCAGAGATTGTGACATTCCATTCCAGCCTGGAAGACAGAGTGAGACTCTGTCTCAAAAATTTTAAATTTAATTTAATTTTTAAAAATACCAAAAAGAAAATTAGCCGGGTATGGTGGTGCATGCCTGTAATCTTAGTTACTTGGGAGGCCAAGGTGTGAGGATTACTTGAACCTGGGATGCAGAGGTTACAGTGAGTAGAGATCGCACCACTGCACATTCCAGCCTGGGCGACAGAGCAAGACTTTTTCTAAAAAACTAAACTAAATAAAATAAATATAATATAATTACAACTAAATAATAAAACAAACAATAAACCAATTTTATAATGATGAAAGGATCTGAATAGATTCTTCTGTAAAGAAGACATACAAATCACAAATTGCATATAAGAAAATGTTCAACACCATTGGTCATCAGGAAAATGCAAATCAAAACCACAAAGTGATACCAATTTATACCCAGTAGGATAGTTTTTCTTTTTAATAAAAAAGCAAAATAATAAATGTTAGAGAGAATGTGGGGAAACAGGAACAAATGGCATTGTTGGTGGTAATGATAAATGAGGCAGACATGGGGCAAAACAATTTTGTGGTTCCTCTATAAGTTAAACAAAAATAACATGCTACCCAGCAATTTTACTACTGATACATAGCCAAAATAACTAAAAAACAGGTGTTCAAACAAACTTTTACAGGACTGTTTACAGCAGACACATTTATGCTAGGAAAATGTGGAAACAACTCAAATGCACTTCAACTGATGAAAGGAAAACAAAATGTATATTTATACAATGAAATATTAATTTGGTAATAAGCAGGAAAGAAGTATACATATATACTGCCAGAATAAACCTTGAAAGCATTATGCCAAAAAAGAAAAAAAAAAGACAAGAGAAATGAAAACAAAAAATCTTGTCTGGTGGTCTTGGAAAAGGAAAAGCATTATGCTATGTGAAATAACCCAATCACATAGTAACATATATAATTTTATATAAATAAAATGCTCACAAGAGGCAAATCTATAGTGTCAGAAAAAATTGCTATTTGCTTAAGGATGGGTTTTCCCTTAAGTTATGATTGAGAATTGATGTCTAAGGAGTGAGTGATTTTGTTCAGAGTTAATGAAAATGCATAAATTTGACAGTAGTGATATTTACACATATCTATGCATATCTATAAATATCCCAAACCACTGAATTGCACCTTTTAAATAATGTATTGTACTATATGTACATATCTCATGGTGTTTAAAATAATAGATGTCTGGCTAGCAGCTCCCAAGGCAGCCTCTCTCAACCTATTAAATTCCTACGTAGGAAGAGGGCAAAACAGGGCTCTTCGACACTCATCACCCTACAGAAGTATCCATTTGAACAACTGTTACTGCACAAAATTACCTTTACAAGAGCTAAAGAAAACAGGTGAGAGATTACAGCACCTAGGTGTAGCAAATAAAGAAAGATGCATTTGAGAGTGGAGAAAGGGTGGATCATTTGAGGTCAGGAGTTTGAGACCAGCCTGGCCAACATGGTGAAACCCTGTTTCTACTAAAAATAAAAATATTAGTCAGGCATGGTGGCAGGTGCTTGTAATCCAAGCTACTCGGGAGGCTGAGGCAGGAGATTCACTTGAACCTGTGAAGTGGACTTTGCAGTGAGCTGAGAGCCCACCACTGCACTTCAGCCTGGGCAACAGAGCAAGACTCCATTTCTAAAGTGGGGAAAAAAGTGATGAAATTACAGTTATACATTACCCACATCACCCCTCCCCCAACTCCAAGTAGCACAGCATGGAGAAAGATATCCATCTATGAGGGGAAGAAAAACAAAACAAAACAAAACTGAGTACTGAGCACTGGACTGTCTCAGATCCCCAAACTGGGCCCATTCCAGCAAAACCTTACACCAGAGAGGACCCCACAGCCCCAGGCTCCAGACTGGTACATGCAGACTGATACTCCAGGCCCACCTTGGCACCAGGTAGGATCCTGCAGATCTGGGCTCTAGGCCTGCACAATAGACTTGGTCTCCAAGACTGCCCTAGCACCTGGTTGGCTCCTGTGGCCCCAGGGTTTAGACTGGTACCAGAACCAGACTAAAGACCTGTCCCAGTGCCTGGTTAACATACTGGCCTCAAACACCAGGTGGGGACCCATGAAGACATGCTCAATGCCTTCCCAGTGCCAGGCTGGTCTTATGGTCTCACCTTTCAGCTCATCCAGGGTCTAGAATCTTTCAAATAGACCTCAGTGCTGGACAGGCACTCATGGGCTTAGACTCCAGAGTTGTCCCTGTGTACCCATATACCAGGACAGTACCCAATGCCCCAGGACCCAGGCCAGACATGCTGTCCTAGAATATAGGCTAGCAAATCCATACTCAACCTCTAGACTGACATCATTGGACATGACTCCAAGCTTGCCCCCATATTCCCAGGCTTCAGGCCAGCCCAGTGGGCTCCAGGCTCCAGACCAGCACCTGCAGACCCAGGCTCCACACTAGACTTAGCAATATGCCAGCCTGAGGCTCTAAACTTCTTCCTGTGGACTTACACTTCTGAGAATGCAGGGTCCAGGCATGTCTCAGCAGACCCAGGGCTCAGGCCTATTCCTGTATATAGTCATGCCTGACCATACCCCTTTGACTGAGGCTCCAAGAACACACCCGGCAGACTCAGAATCCAGGTCTTCTGTGGATCCAAGATCCAGACCCACTTCTGCATCCTTGGGTTCC